CGAAATTGACGAACGAGTGTCCGTGTTCGTGGGAAATTTTCACTCGTGCAGATATTAGAGACGTTTTTTTTTTTTTTGGAATTTTTGAAAATAAACAAATAAGGAGAAGTATCGATAAGTAAGACGATTCGGTGAGAAAATTTTGACACAGAATAGATCGGGTTTTTAGTGACATGAAGTTGCATCGGGAAATTCTATGTCTACGATGGATCTGTATGTTGTGCAGTTATTACATCGTAAATGTTACGATAAAATACCAAAAAATCATCATCTTCTTTAAACGACATATAATGCCCAAATATGTATGAAACATTTAAAGTAAATTATTTATTAATAGATTTTAGGTGCCATTTTCGTAGTTATCTCCATGAAAACATACGATTATGTAGACGATTTTTATACAAAATTCAAGTATATTAAATTTAGTTACTTATTTTCATTTAGCTACGAAATATGATTGATACCAATAAAAAAAAGACTATCTCATTAGAACAGAAAGTATTCTAAATAATACTATGCTACGTCTGCAAAAACATTCTGACATTTCATTAACACTGCAATCTAAAATTATTATCATATTATCAAGTACAAAAATATTCTAACGAACCGTTAAACAACCGTTCTCGAAGTTATTATACACTCTGTCTATTTTTGCACCTTTAAATTATTTCGTACCTGCTCGTTACAATAAAAATTAATGAAATTCCAAAAGAAGTTCGAGCACTTTCGTGAGCCGCTGCATACGATATTTATTTTCGATACGCGTTAATTGCGAGAAAACGAACGAGCATCTAGGACCAATTAATTTGTTCCAGCATTACTGATTCTACCTGCTGCATCCGTTAGTTGACTGGCTTTCGCCGGAATCGGCGTATCGACACCTACGAGCCACATACGTGCATGTGAGCAGACGGTGTAAAAGCCTATTCTTTATCCGTGCGATCAAGCAGAATCGTATCATTTTCGAGGAAGGAGAAAGCGCCACGGCCGTCACAAACGCTTCGCATTCAATGACCTCGGACCACGGCTCGATGCCAGCGCAGCGAATGACCTCCGACTCCGGCAAATAGTAAACAGATGTCAACTAAATTCATTCCAGAGACCAGATACTCGCTGGCGCCACCGTAAATCCACAGACGAATTCGACAGTGGTTCGAGCCCATCATCCAACAAACCCAATTAATCCACTATGGATCTCACTACACTTAAGAAATTTGAACGTGCGTACGTGCAACACGGGGAACAATCGTGTATATATATATATATATATATCAAATATCGGAACGCGTTACTGTTGTTCAGCAAGATGAAACAGATTTTTATTTGGAACCTATCGTTCTCGTTATCTGCAATTCACTCGTAACGATCAACTTTACGCTGTAACTGTACTTGAAAGAATCAGATACCACCTAGGCCATAGTAATCAGGTTGCATTCATAACAATATGCATTTGCATGAATGATCAACAGTCTACTAATTACGTAGAACGTTTACATTTCAATACTTGTAGAAACATTTATGCAAAAGATTTTCAAACTTTATTAGCATCTGTTGACGAGACACTTCATTGAACGTTTGGTTGTGAAACAAACCTGAGCTTGGTGCAAGTACACATGTATTTCCACAGCAATTACGGAACTATTTATATGGTCAGTTATCTAGTATATAATAATCTACGATAATTTTATACAAAAATGATGTTGGCTCAGACTTAATTAATTCGATGTTATATTTCTCTTTCTATCCATTATATCTATTTCTTTCACTAGATATCACTGCGTATGATAATTGAAGAGAAATGTATTTACAAATATTATTCTTTATCATTTTTCACTATCGTATGTTTATTTCACAATCACAAATAATAATTTTAGAAAAAAAAGTATTTAACAATTAGTACCATATTTTTACTTTTGTTCGTCGTTTGAGACTTAACAATCTTCAATATTTAGAGAGCATCTTTAATGTTTCCTATATTAATTTAAACTTAAATATATGCTTGCGGTAAATAACGTGGCCTCTATACACGTTTCAAAATGTGCTCAATGACGCATATAATCTATGTTGTCACGGCATAAAATTCGCCGTGAGTTTTCAAACTTTCCACGTTGTTCCAAATTCTTCGAAGAGTAATCGCGTCTCGTTACAGTGAATAATGAAATTTCGAATTCGCAAAAAAGTTTTCCCGCCAACGTGCGAACGACCATTAACCGCGAAACGCTAACTTGCAGTAGGCGCAGTAATAGTAATCTACAATTCGGAATTCCTCATAACGCCTGAATATTCAAGTTCTAATAAGGATATAACGCGTGGAACTTCTAGAGCATCTTGTCAATCTGGAGTAGTACGCAGTAGTGAATAGTAGAACACTTATAGTAGTTAGAATATCTGGAATAGCCTGCAATTGGCTCGATGCTTAAAACATTTAGAATATCTAGAGTAGCCGGGGCTGAGTTCTTGAAATGCTAATCGAAAGCTCGTGCTGGTCGATTTAAAATAAATATTAGGTACCATACACACACGCCGCGGCGCGCACAATAGAATAACTAGAATAATTCAGTAGAATTGATACGTACACCACCGTCGACTTTCAATAAAATATGTCTCCCAATTACGAAACGTTACGAGTAAAATCCAATCCGCGATAATTTCACTCGCTGTAATAAAATGGTCGCCGACTTTTTCAATAAAATATGTCTCAATTTATGCAAAATTACGAATAAAACGCAGCCCGCGGTAATTTCATTCTTCGCTATGTAATAAAATATTCCAAACGATTTTTAAACCTGCTATAACGATAAACTGGCCTTTGTCATATTTGAGCTGTATCACCACTATGATTTTTCATATACAGTTTTAAATTAATGATTCTAACTAGCGACTCGTCGGCGCGATCCATAAACTTTTTTTAAACGAATTAATTTACCATTTTGAAGTGCGAGATGATAGTCTAAGTGATAGTTAAATACATTGCTGCTGTAACATGTCCCTTGATAAGCAATTTGATGTGAAACATTCGAACGTAAAGAAGCGTATCCGAAATATTCTCCTTGGAACGAAACTACGTGCCCAGAACGTTGAATATTTAAATAATAATTCGGACTGAATGGCGAGGTGAATTAATGTCGCTTTTCCGCAAACAAAACAATTTCATCGGCCGTACATAATATCTAGTTAGGTATACGGTTGGTTTTCCGGTCAAAAGGGAATATTAATGTTCCCGTTATAATACCATAAATATTAATATTAATATTAAAATTTCATTTCGAATGTAGCGGACATTCGTTCGGCGAGAGGCCGGCCGCGAGGAACTTTATCCCTTTTGGAAAATACTCACTCTGAACAGGCCTAACGTTTCGCGTTTTATTAAACATTCGCTATTAAACTTCGTTGGTTTCGCTCGCTCGACTTCGCGGAAAGCTCGTCGCGGAACAGGCAGGAAAAAAAAAAAAAAGAAAAATTAATAAAACGAAATGCTTGCGCGTTGAAAACCGTGCCGAACAACGTAACCGTCTCGAATCGAGGACTTGTAACCAAGCGTAAATATCACCGAATGAATTATTCATTCAAATATGAAATTCCACCAAAACAAGAAAAGAAAGAAAGAAAAGGAAAACCGTTTCCACGTGACGAAATTTGAATTTCCGAGATTGTCATTGAATTTCGAGCCGGTCCGCGATATTTCTGTTATGAGAATTCCTTTATTAACCGGCAGACGCGTGATAATTTCAGTTATCTTGGTTGCATAACTGAAAATTATTATTAGTGAAGACCTCAGATCTCTGTTTTCAATCTGGACGCTACGTAGAGATCTAGGATGCAGCGGCATGACGCTGAGAATAAATCACTTTTGACAAATTCTTCGAACGACAGTAAAAAAAAAAAAAAAAGAGAAAAAAAGAAAAAAACCGACAACTAGAAATTGAACGACGAGGAAAATGGGGGGATCTTGTTGGCGTGATCGCGCAGCCTTTGACCGGTACAATTGACAAAACCTGATCGTGAGGTTGATTGCGTTTTGTGTGACGCTGTGTGTACCTAACGTGCGCGACGTCCTCGAAAACGGAAATAGTTATGACTTGACATCGCGATAACGAAAAAAGGAAGCTCCCAGGTAAGCGAATCGCACGAAAGCGTGGCTTATGTAATCTGACAGAAGCAACGCGCCTCTCGTTTCTCTATTTTATACCACGGCCCGCGTTTTGGCAGCGATTTCGCGATCGTTCAAGCTCGTTTATCGCCGATCGGGCTCGATCAACAGCTTCTTAATGGATTGCCAATGCGTGATAACATCGATCGATTTATATGTAGCATCTTGCCCCGCGAGACCTACATGACGTAAGAATTCCCCAGGTCTGGTAACCATCGCCTTTCGCTTCGATTATTCCTGTCATTTTTCTCCTTTTTTCCTTTCTTTCCCGCGGTGTAACCGACGAGACTCGGCCAATGAAACTTGAAAAGTCGCAAACAGACTAATTGTCTATTTAAACACGGTTTACCGAAAGAATACTTAATCTCGAGGAATGGTTAGACAGATGTGAGAATCAACAAGTGCTGATAAACGAATATTACACTATACGTTTTCGGCCGAGTGTTTCGTACATGTTTCGGAATTTAAAAGACACAGTGTCACGTGGATGTAACGACGAGTTCATTTGTACGATTATACCAATTAAACAAAATAAAATTTGATTTTGATTTTGGACGAGAGTGAAATTGACGTACTCCAAAATGAAATATTAAAGATGCTCCGTAATAAAATGCTGAAATTAACTTGTAAATAGGTTGCGAATATTTGTGCATTTGTGTAAATAAAAGTAAATTCCACTTGAATTCGAATGAATTTAAAGATATCCGAAATACATGTAACAATGCCAAAATATGCAAAATATGTTCAATGTAAAATAATCGTACATTATTCCAATTACTATTTAATTGCTCTGATACAAATATGAATTTAATATTCGCCGTCTTTTGGATAGTTCGATTGAATATTGTGTTTAATCATCCACTATTTTAACTATGAATAACTGTGTTACAATTAGTATCTTATTATTAGAAATTGAATTACTGTTCATTAAACTTTGAATGTCATATTATCCAAAAATGTGTAAGGGAATCATTGGGATTCGATAATAATTATCGAAGAATATAAAAAAAATTTTTTAATCATCGATGTCAGAATGGAAGGGACATTAAAAATCATTTCTGCTTTTCGAGCATCGCGTCACATGATTTTCTCTTTTCTTTTTTTTCTTTTTTTTTTTTTTTTAACTGACTAATTGTTTCTATTAACTATTTCCAACTTTCGACGCGCAACGTGGAACTACGTTGCGAAACGTTAAAAAGCGTCATTGAAACGACGAGCTCCGAAATATATTTCCTAAATTTGACTAGCAAATGATATATCAGAGTGCGAGCAGACATTAATATTAACGTCTCTGACGACCACTATTTGCATATTCGAACTTGGAACTCACGAAAATATGAAAAAGCACGTGTTTACGTAATCACGCTGCACGTTTCGGAGTCTCTTCGAATACTTGGTCGAGCGAAAATTTTTTACAGGTTAGGCTGTTCGTTATTGTTGTCAGGAATCTTTTGTCAGATGTCGTGAGTAATCAATGAGAAGAAGAAGAGTCCTCAATCGAGGGAAAAATATTGAGAAAGTTTTCTAATCGGAATGTAGAATCGACCGCGAAAAAAAACTTCGATCGCACAACGGGTTCTTTCGATATTAAAGAGAGGCGGGCTTGCTGAATCGAGGTGAAGTATGTAGACGGTAGAACGCAAAGTTCGAATGTTCGAAAGGTCGGTCGCTAATGTAAACAGAAACAGCGTGTCACGCGCACGACGCGAGATAGGCCGCATGCATCGAACCAAAGTCATTCTACGTAAACTCGACCGGCCCCGTGTCTCGACTTGTCAACGACGATGACGAATTGAATAAACGAAACATGTTTATTAACGAACGACGGACTCACCTGAAGATCATGACAGCCGTTATCCCTGTGACTGGCAGCACGAATCACCCCTGCACGCCACCCCCACTCACTGATCTTATTCACCTTTAGCTTGGTGAAACCACTCACCGAGAGAAACCTCTTTCCCACGATCTCTTCGCGAAACTTGTACGCCATATTATGGATCGGCAACCGCGGCGTGTCGAATCCGCGAATTCGGATCGCCAGCCGGGTCTTCGAATCACCCTTTTTCCTTCTCTACACTTTTCTATGTGTCTACCTCGTCTTCTCGCTTCTTTGGCTATCTCTTCTTCTTCTTCTATCACTATCTCTATCCCTGTGTCTAGCGATCCTTTTCCCTCGCTGTCTTACTCTCTCACTCTCTTGCTTTCTCTCTCCCCCACGAACTGTGCCGTTCTCTTTTCCTCTATTCCGATCCTCCAGCGAGCGTGCCTCTCCCCCAAAAAAGAAAACCCCACGTAGCACTGAACCGTAGAGAAGAACAACCGAGCACCGATCACCACTTCGTTATTTTTCACCAAAGCACACCAAGAGCACAGTCACTCGAATCCGCTTTTCTCCTCGTGATCACGACGGGCCAGCAAACAACAGGGCCATGAGGCGCGCACGATCCTCTTCTCCTTTCTCCTCTTTTCTTCTCTCTTCCTTGGACGATCGGCCACCACCAGCAGCAGCCACTCCTTGCTCCTACATACGTGCGTCTGGACACTGGACACCGTACCACCGAAAACGTCTCGGCGACCGCTCCGATATATCACTTTGCTCTTCTCGACACCTCGTCGTTGTCGTTGTCCTCGTCGTCCACGTCCACGTCCACGTCCACGTTCTCGTCCTTGTCGTAGTAG